TGTCTTCACTATGTACACACCTTCATGTTTTCTATTCTGTATTTTCCATGACTTCGCGGGAGTTCGCGGGTGTTTGGGACGTTATTGCTATGCTCGTGAGCCGAGTAAAATAACTTTCCAATCTGTCTTGTGTTGATATGGTGTTATTTATATACTTCATTCACAAATGGGTAATTGGAGAAAATATATACCAGTTTTTCCATTTATCTTTATTAATAGTATGAAGAGGTACTCAGGGCTGTAATCGGCTCTCCTTCCAATCTATAATAAACATGCATAGCAATTGATATAAAGTATTAGTGCTAAAAATAAATATTATATCAGTGACATGATTGATTAAACAAAACACAACATTAAACTTTTCGAATAAGAAAACCCGAGCAATCAAGTTAAATCCTTTGTTGTATGACACTGTCCCCCACATCTGGTTTGATACGTAACTTGGTTTGTATACATAAAGCAAATTATACATAACGCAAACCAAGCCATGTATCAATAGCCAACTAGCACCAAATTACACCCTTCTAACTTCCAGAACCCTACTGAACATTCAACATATTGCACTAGCCATCATGGAAGCGGAGTGTGACAAGATGCAGTGGAGCTATAATTGAGGTGATTTTTCACCTCATCACCTTCACCTCATAACCTTTCCCTCATCCTCGACTACATATCATGCAGCCAGATTTTTTGTAATTTACGGGCTCGCTATACCCCGTGCTACATGGGCATGTCGTTCTGAGTAGCTAAATCTAAAACGACAACAATATTATTTCTAATCATTCATACTCTGCCTTTCATAATGTTAAGAAGACTTAATGCAACGTAACTATTAGCACCAGGCCAAATAAAACTGTAAAAATTAACTTTGGAGAGTTGATTTTTCAACTTCCCTTTTCAAGTAAAGAAATATGTAAGGAAAATAGAGAAGGTTCGTGCTAGAATCATTGATCTCACCCTTTTGGCCAAACTCAATAACATACACACCTGATATATCTATATAAATAAAAATGGAAATGTTCGTGTGTTCAAAATAGCTAATCTCCGAAAGTGCTTCACCGATTGCTTTGAAAATTTCACACAACGTTCCATTTGCATCCGAACGGGTTTTTATATACATACTATATAAGTGTCAGGTCTATGACGGAAAAAAACATGTTTTTTTTAAACGGTATTTTTCAGGTAATTTTCATGTGAGGGAAAACTTCGAAACCTCTTTACCGATTGTTTTGAAATTTTGACACAACGTTGCATTCGAATAGGCACGTGTTTTTATATACCTACTATATACATGCCTAACCTGTGACAGGAAAAACATGCTTTTTTGAAAAACAGCGCCATCTGTTTGACGTAAGAGTAACACGCGCTGTACTCTCCAAAAGTTCTTCACTGCTTGCTTTGAAGTTTTGACACAACGCTCCATTCGAATACTCACGTGTTTTTATATACGTGGCCCAAATCAGCTCACAAATACCTGGCCCATACAACTCACATATTCCTGAGCCTAAGCAACTCACATATGCATGATCCAATGCAACTTACATATACTTGACCCAATACAACTAGAATTCTGTCTAACCCTATACAACTATAATATACCTGACCCAATATAACTCACATATATTTGACTTTGCAAGCTACCAGTAATATTAAAATAATAAAACTGGTGAGATTTTCCTGGGTATTTATGCATGAATGGTACTGCTGAAAAAATTGGTTAAAATACGTGAATTTCGCCTTTATTTGGTGCGCCGGAGTAGCACTCTCTAATTTCCAATGTTGAAGTTGAAGAGTGGGTAAATACTGGATTAATTATTCCAGCCGAGTTTTTCAGCTGTCAATCTCCCTTTATTTTGTCTCTCTCTCCGGCTGCCTCTCTGGTATCTAGCTGTCTGTGTGTGTAAGTGTCCGTCTGTCTCTGCATATCCGTACATCTGTCTGCTCTATTTAAGTGTACCCTTGTCTTTCGCTCTCAATAAGAATCCGTCTGTCTATATCTTTCTTGAAATATTCCCACCTAGTTATACTCGTCTAGTTGTATTTGCTGAGGTTGAGCTTTGGCTCTTGTTTCGCGCCCTCCAACCCTGAATCGACTTTTGAATGGGTTCCGGGGGGTGTAACGAAAAGGATGCCTGGTCGAGGACCGGGCCGCGGGGACGCTAAGCCCCGAAATCATCTCAAGATAACCTCCCTCACTGCACCCTACCACCCTCCCTCTCTGCACCCTGCTAACCTCCCTCCCTCACTGAACCCTTTCACCCTTTCTCCCTCCCTCACTGCACCCTACCACTAACCCCTCTCTGTCTCACTCCATCTTACCCACCGTCACGACACTCTCCATTTCTCTACTCTCCACTCTCTTCTTCTCAATACTTTCTACATCTCCCTGAGTCCGTATCCCTTCCCTGTGATTCTCACCTATTATCGTCCTCTTCCCTGCTTACAATTCCTTTCTTTAGTTTCTCTGCCTCTTTTTCTTTCTCTTTCCTAGCCTGTCTCCACACGTCTAGCAGCCTCTCTCACTCCGGGAGAGGTCCCTGGGCCTCACACCCAGGCTGCTGGCTACAGCCACACGCAGTTTGTAACTAGTACGTGAAGTTATAACAAAGTTTCTCATTCTCTCTTTCATGAATAATTCAGCATCTACATTGACCAAAATTTCGAGAGAAAGAGAGAACGAGAGCGAGAGACAGACAGAGAAAGAGATACAGAAAAGTACCTGGAATAGCTGATGGTAGGATACATTTCTAGTTGAGAAAATACATGCAATTATGATAGTTAAACTCCATGATAATGCAACTGAGACAAGTATACAAACTAGAGGCAAAAACATGCACTGAGCGCTAAGTCTTTATTGACCATGAAGAGGCTGCAAAATATTACACGGAGCCCAAATTCGCTTCCTTCTTGAGTATGCATGGCTCTCCTGAATGCCACCTACCCCACACTTACCCGAATACTGAACATTGTAGAACAGCATGCTGGAAGCCTCGCCTCAGGTCTTGGTCAGCAGATCGTAGCCTTCGACACCTGACAGATGTTAGTGTCCTTATGTTAAGTGTCTTATGTATGAGGTTAATGTTCCTCAGACCCCCCCCCCCACATATGGCCCAACGTCATGGACATGAAGTTAGCAGCACAACACAAAGTTGATCAGTGATCAAGTGACTCATGCTGGCTGTGCATGAGTCTGGTGAGTCATGACTCACCATCATAACTATATCAGCGATCATTCTTGTGTAGGTTGCCTAGCAACTGCAATTATGGTCTATCAACATATAATATGCTTGAAATCAAGTCAAAAAATCTAATGAAGGTTATGGCACACAGCTTGTACCAAACTCATCCTGAGTGTACCTAATACGATTGTAACTTAATGTTTGTTAAAAGATATGTCTAATGAAAATAAAAATCTAGTAATATGTTCATTAAGTAAATCAGTTGCTAAAGTCTGGCTTCAGATGAGTATATAGGATAATTGCTCTTGTAGTTTCATTAGGAACATCAATACCATTTCTAGTGATCCCTAGTTTGTGTTTTCAAAAAAAGTGTTAACAATTTATAAGATTATGCAATATTCATATTTTGAATGCATGGATATATGTTGTCATAATTATCGTTAACACTGTGAGCAGAGGTTAGTATGTGGGTGTGTGCTTGTCTCCTTCTGTTTGTTTGGAAGAATCTTGAACTACCTGTGGCAAAACACTCGCCCGGCGCTTCTCGACCGCTTTGGCCTGGGTTCGTATCCTGGTCTGGGAGGATTGACTGAGCGCTGATCCTTAACTGTAGCCTCTGTTCACCCAGCAGTGAATGGGTACCTAGTTAAACGATTTGGCGGGTCGTATTCCGGGAAAAATTAGGATTAAAGACCTGCCCGAAACGCTACGCGTGCTAGTGACTGTACGAGAATTAACTCGTTAATATATATAGATAAAAAATTGGGCACCGTAACTTATCCATCAATTGGGTGGTGTGATAACTAATTACCTATTGTAATTTGCCATATTTATTGTCCTGTAAATCCGTGTATGGCCTTGGTTACTTCCTAAAATACTCTATTTTAATCATTAACTATCAACATTGAAGAAAATCATTCTTGAACAGCTCTTGCATCTTCTAGTGTTCAATTTCCTTTTGTATATTTTCTTGAAAACTATGGAACAAGGCGTGTCTCCGTCCGTCTACTTGATGCGACGGAATATCTCGTAGGCTGTGATCATGTCTCAAGATCTTTTCAATTCTGGTGTTTCATAGTGTTTCTGGTGATTATGTTCGCTTAGATATAATCTCACATATTTATATTTACTGGAATTTTACATTATTCGATAAATTTGTTCATTGTTCAACAAGTGAGCGAAGAGTTAGAGAGAGGCGGACCGCCTTTTCCCGAAGACTTGATCTCACGAGTCTTGTAAGGCAATAAATTTCACAAGTTTCAAGCCAGAAGGATGTCTTCGTCTCCGCTAGAGCGACCACCAACACTCTGTTGGTCTCCGGGTGGTAAACAATAGTCTTTGTTCAGCGAGAAAGTTTCTCTTGTGAATTAACAGAGTAAATAACCCCTACTGCAACCTGTCATCACCACGGCTTGCAGGACGTGTTGCAAGATGCAAGTTACCTATATACATTATAGGCTTTAGTATGAAGGTCTTGACTTTTAGGGCAGGAAAGCGAGGCGAAAAATAAACGTATTTATCGTGAGAAGCAAGAAAAATGAATTCAATAAATTAACAAATATTATCGATTAATGATAACACATAAATCGACGAATTACATGTAAATGTTAGTAAATATATTTATGAATTTGTACATCCAGCTAAATATTTGGTGCATACGTTTATCAGCATCAATAAAATGTAAATATATGTAGGTGTTTATACTTCAGAAAAATTTCCTTTAAAAGGACGTTAAATATTTCCTGCGTGAGCGTTACATATTCAGTATATTTTTGTTTGGGCGGCCTGGACCCATCCTTTACTATCATCCTTAATGACACGTCATACGATGACACACGGTCTCCGTGGTGTCTGTGGGGGTGGAACATGGTCTCCTTGGTGTCTGTGGGGGTGGAACATGGTCTCCGTGGTGTCTGTGGGGGTGGAACATGGTCTCCGTGGTGTCTGTGGGGGTGGAACATGGCCTCGGTGGTGGCTGTGGGGGTGGAACATGGCCTCGGTGGTGGCTGTGGGGGTGGAACATGGTTTCCGTGGTGTCTGTGGGGGTGGAACATGGTCTCCGTGGTGTCTGTGGGGGTGGAACATGGTCTCCGTGGTGTCTGTGGGGGTGGAACATGGTCTCCGTGGTGTCTGTGGGGGTGGAACATGGCCTCGGTGGTGGCTGTGGGGGTGGAACACGGTATCCGTGGTGTCTGTGGGGGTGGAACATGGTCTCCGTGGTGTCTGTGGGGGTGGAACATGGTCTCCGTGGTGCCTGTGGGGGTGGAACATGGTCTCCGTGGTGTCTGTGGGGGTGGAACATGGCCTCGATGGTGCCTGTGGGGGTGGAACATGGTCTCCGTGGTGTCTGTGGGGGTGGAACATGGTCTCCGTGGTGTCTGTGGGGGTGGAACATGGTCTCCGTGGTGTCTGTGGGGGTGGAACATGGTCTCCGTGGTGTCTGTGGGGGTGGAACATGGCCTCGGTGGTGGCTGTGGGGGTGGAACATGGTCTCCGTGGTGCCTGTGGGGGTGGAACATGGTCTCCGTGGTGTCTGTGGGGGTGGAACATGGCCTCGATGGTGCGTGTGGGGGTGGAACATGGCCTCGGTGGTGGCTGTGGGGGTGGAACATGGTCTCCGTGGTGGCTGTGGGGGTGGAACATAGCCTCGGTGGTGCCTGTGGGGGAGGAACATGGCCTCCGTGGTGGCTGTGGGGGTGGAACATGGTCTCGGTGATGGCTGTGGGGGAGGAACATGGTCTCGGTGATGGCTGTGGAGGTGGAACATGGCCTCATTGGTGTCTGTAGGGGTGGAACATGGCCTCGGTGGTGGCTGTGGGGGGTGGAACATGGACTCGGTGATGGCTGTGGAGGTGGAACATGGCCTCGGTGGTGCCTGTGGGGGAGGAACATGGTCTCGGTGATTATCTGTGGGGGGTGGAACATGGCCTCGGTGGTGTCTGTGGGGGTGGAACATGGCCTAGGTGGTGGCTGTGGGGGTGGAACATGGCCTCGGTGGTGTCTGTGGGGGTGGAACATGGCCTCGGTGGTGTCTGTGGGGGTGGAACATGGCCTCGGTGGTGCCTATGGGGGTGGAACATGGTCTCGGTGGTGGCTGTGGGGGTGGAACATGGCCTCGGTGGTGTCTGTGGGGGTGGAACATGGCCTCGGTGGTGCCTATGGGGGTGGAACATGGTCTCGGTGGTGGCTGTGGGGGTGGAACATGGCCTCGGTGGTGTCTGTGGGGGTGGAACATGGCCTCGGTGGTGGCTGTGGGGGTGGAACATGGCCTCGGTGGTGTCTGTGGGGGTGGAACATGGCCTCGGTGGTGTCTGTGGGGGTGGAACATGGCCTCGGTGGTGTCTGTGGGGGTGGAACATGGCCTCGGTGGGGCCTATGGGGGTGGAACATGGTCTCGGTGGTGCCTATGGGGGTGGAACATGGTCTCGGTGGTGGCTGTGAGGTGGAACATGGCCTCGGTGGTGGCTGTGGGGGTGGAACATGGCCTCGGTGGTGTCTGTGGGGGTGGAACATGGCCTCGGTGGTGTCTGTGGGGGTGGAACATGGCCTCGGTGGTGCCTATGGGGGTGGAACATGGTCTCGGTGGTGGCTGTGGGGGTGGAACATGGCCTCGGTGGTGTCTGTGGGGGTGGAACATGGCCTCGGTGGTGCCTATGGGGGTGGAACATGGTCTCGGTGGTGGCTGTGGGGGTGGAACATGGCCTCGGTGGTGGCCACCAAAACAATGTTCAATATTCCTTATAATTGTTTGAATGAACACAATCTTGTTGGCAGAAAGGATACTTTTAAGCCCTAAAGCAGCAGCGACTGAGGCTGACTACATTACAGTGCCAACTCTTATTAAACATAATGTAAGTGCTGGCAGAAGAGGCTGACACCATTATAACGTCTCTCTTTAAATGTGAATGCAGTGTACGCAGCAAGATTTACACCGACAGCATTTTCGTGTTCCTTGTTTACTGAAAATGGCCACTATTTAATGCTATTAAGGTGAAGGAAATTGCTGAGAAAATGCTTTCAGTACTCATTATGTAACTAAGGGAAGGCGAGAGAGTGATAAAGAGATAGTGAGAGGGAGGCAGAGATAAAGAGACAGAGTGACAGACACAGACAGACAGAAGGCTCTTAGGTCTCTGAACAGAGAGCCAAAGCTCAACCCCCGCAAGCACAACTAGGCGAGGACAGAGATGGGAGGAAGGAGTAAGTCATTAGGGCAGTGATGAAGCTAATATATCACTGGGCTGACGGCCCTCGTGACGGCAACACCATCCTCAGCTCACCTCTGCAGGGTGCACACCCAAGCAACTGCTGAATCATGCAATATTACGGGATAACGCAGGATAATGAATGGACTACCATCACCGTAGTAAACACAGGCACACTCTTCACCGGCAAGACATGTGCTCAGGTAGCTCGTTGGAAGGAAGTGTACAATATTAGTCTTTAAAGTCTATTATTAAGCATGACTGGTCAGATGCTATAAGTCCATTTGTGGATAGAAAAAGGTAATTATAATTTTGCACAATATTTGATAGATAATTCTACATTGTTGTTATAAATTAAATTTACATTCTCCATTTATTAGGTAACTAGCAGTACCCGGCCATGCGTTGCAGTGGCTCAGTGCGTTGCTGAGCCCAGCAACCTTCCCTGTCCCCTAGTCCTCCGCACCATTCCCCCTCCTCACCCGTCTCCTCGGCCATCCAACCAATTCCCCACTCTACCGTCCCCTAGTCCTCCCTACCATTCCCCACTCCACCATCCCCTCTTCCTTCCATCGTGCCCCTCTCCCTTGTCTTTTTGTCCCCTCCCCACTATTCTGTATTCCCCCATCCCCTCGTCCTCACCATCCCAAACTCCCTTGTCCCCTCGTTCTTTCCCACCATTACCCTCTCCCTTGTCTCCTCGTCATCCCAATCATTCCCCACTCCCTCGTCCGATGCCTTCCCAAATGGTCTGCTGTTCCCATCAGAAAATTGGGGACATCAAGTGATCTGATGTTCCCATCACTGAAATATAAGAAAAAGGGTTAAAAAATGAAATGAAAATATGAAAAAACATATAAATTTACAATACTCACGAAATGAACGGTATGGTAAACAACACAGTTCAATTCCAACGCAATTCATACAAAATAATTAAATCAAAATGAAAATAAATCAAAATCTTTGAAAATTCCATTTATCAATGCAATCAGAAACATTGAAATGGAATTGAACATATGTAGTATAGCATGTGTGTTGCTCTTACATGCTATGCTAAATATGATGCTGTTTTTCAAGAAAAGCATAGTTTTACCTGTTATGGGTGTGGCATCTATACTTACGAAATGAACAGTATGGTAAACAACACAGCACAATTACAACACAATGTCACATCAAATTATTCAACAATACATAAAAAATATCGAAACCTATGAAAATGAAATTTATCAATGCAGTCGGAAACATTGAAATGGAATTCGTGACACATTTAGTATAACGTGCATGTTGCTATTATGTGCACCAGATGGCGCTGTTTTTCAAAAACGGATTTTTTTTTTCCTGTCACAGGTGAGGCATGTATACTGTAGATATATGAAAAGACGCGCCTATTGGAAAGCAACGTTGTGTCAAAATTTCAAAGCAATCGGTAAAGAGGTTTCGAAGATTTCCCTCACATGAAAAACACAGTTTTTCAGAAAAAGCATGTTTTTTTTAACGTCACATCTATATAGTATGTATATAACAACCCGCTCTGCGAATTGAACGTTGTGTGAAAATTTCAATGCAATCGGTGAAGAACTTTCGGAGATTTGCGATTATGTACAAACGAACATTTCCATTTTTACTTATATAGATATGAGGTTGCAACCCGTTCTCACACAAGACAGCACATATATGACTTAATGCTTAAAGTCAATATGTTGAATATGAATTAGTAAATATGTGATATATTTCCAGTTACTTTTTTTACCAAGGCCCAAACTCTTCCTCACGTACCAATTTACGTGTCACAGTACCCGTCCGTCAACATAGATAGCAGAATATTCGTGATTGGTTCAATTATAAGGAAAATTGTAGTTTTCAGGTCCCACATGGGTTGTGAAATTTACCTACTATTGTCCATGCTCTTAGAATATTACAGATCAGCTACTTCCTATTGAAGGTTCGTAGTTTTGTTTTGAGAAATATTAGTTGTTCTTAGTAAATTATAATAAGCACTAAAAATTATTACATAGAATAACAGTCCTTCACCAATCAATACTATATACTATACTTTGTGCTTTACAAATCTTTAAAGGATGTTTTGTAGGAACGCTAACAGAAAACGATGTTACGTTGGAATGTCTATGGGGTAAACTACTGCAAACAGGACGGTATTGTGTCTACTATACCAACTATAGCTAGGATGGGTATATTGTCACCTACCGCCTGGTGGGAAAGGGGTCCAATACCACCCACAGGATGGGTATGAGGGTCACATCCACCCACAGGATGAGTATGGGGATCACATCCACCCACAGGAAGGGTATGGGGTCCAATACCACCCACAGGATGAGTATGGCGTCCACTACAACCCACAGGATGGGTATGGGGCTCCAATCACCCATAGAATGGGTATGGGGCTCCAACCACAAATAAAATGGGTATAGGGTCCAATAACACCCACTGGATGTGTATGGCGTCCATTGCCGCGCGTCGAGCTCGAAAACCGCAGCATTCATCTCAGAACCATGCCTATTTCACACAGATTCCTTAATAAACGTAAGAGTTTTATATGTCACAAGAAAGGTATAAATATAAGCTTCATTCTAAATACCTTACCATGGGCATATTTAAATTTAAAGCGAAGATACATGTACTTTTATAATAGCCGAGCTTTAACCCCGGACAGATTGATCGACCGAGCAACTCTCTCTCAGAACAATGTTTATTTCACGTGAATTCGTTAATAAACATATATGTTTTATATGTCTCAAGAAAGACAGACATATAAGCTTCACTTTAAACACTTTACCATGGACATATTTAAAGTTCTAATGAAGATACATGTATTTTAAAAATTACGGAGCTCCCACCCCGTACAGACTGAACGACAGAGCAACTCTCTCAGATCAATGTTTATTTCACGTAAATTCGTTAATAAACACAAATGTTTTATATGTCTTAAGCAAGATAGAAATAAGAGCTTCATTTTAAGTACATTACAATAGACATATTTATAGCTCAAGTGAAGATACATATGCTTTTATAGTAGCGCTCAATAGCTTGTCGGGCATGGAGTGCAGACGCCTACGGACTTGCCGATATACTGTATAATTAACAAAGATACGTTAATAAAGCCTAAAATCTTATATGCCTCCAGAAAGACCGAGATATGAACATTATTATGATTTCACCAAATGAAATATATCATGTTCGAGAACAAAGATATATCAATTTTAAATTAAGTTTCGACTCTTGCTCGGGCGAGAGAGATGGGGCGACTCTCGCCCCATCTATTGGAGATTCTGTCCACTAAAGACCTCAAAAGCTACTCAATCCCTCCTAGCATTATTTAAGTAATGAAGTAATATGGTATATTTACTATAATGTGGGTGCTGAATGCAGAACATGAGAAAACATATATTTACTCCAAACTAATATAATTTCATTATGAAATAAGTAAATAAGTAGCATCAAAGGAAGTCGACGGTCCAAGCGTCAATGTTGTGGAGCGACTTATCCAAGATATATCGTTGTTTGGAAAGTGTTTGTTGGCATATCCAGTTGTCGCACTTCTCTGCACAAATTATCACAAATTTAAATTATAATGTTAACAAGTAGAATACGTAATTTTAATAAAATCTAACATAACTAGCCAGAAAACATTTAACATTTATTAAAAAAATATATGTTTGGAAGTTAAATCGACTTCATAGGACAATAGTTTTGTTATATATAAACGCTCGTTATTCGTTGTATATATCTCAAAAAAAAAAAAAAAAAAATGCGTTCGCTACTTAAACTACCATGTACTGTACTTATGTAAAATCTCCCATGTCTCTTCGCTCATCTCACCGAACCCTACAGGCTCTTTGATATATTGTTTAATTAATTGAGATTCACAAATAAAGCTTATAATTGTATATGTTATCAAAAAGGCAGAGCTTATTTTAGTTCATTTATTATGCACCCCATACCCATCCTATGAGCTTGTTCCGTTGTTCACTGGCGTAAAGTAATATCCTAACAATTTATCCAAAATTTGCTTGTCCATTTTAAAGAACGAATAATATTTTTTAGTTATATTGCTTCTAAGCTGCATCACTTATAAACCCATCCCTGCCCTTGTGTGGCAGTGCACAATAGAAAGTTGTTTTCTCATATACATTAAAAGATTGATTGTAACCATAATATATATGTGCTTCAGCCTACAGTTTAGACTTATTGTCTTATGTATGACCCTCGATCCTGCGTGATAGTGAACACCAGCATTATCCTCACTTTAATAAGACAATTGAAATCCTCAGATTAGGCAAAATTGTAATT